CCTGCCCTGCCCTGCCCTGCCCTGCAGAAAGGTGGGGTGCGTGCAAGGGGCATGATGCAGAGGGGCTTGGAAGAAGCGGGTAGGTCCTTAGCCAGGGCTCACTGGGGAGAGAGCCGTAGTACTACTATCATCATCCTGCAGCCAGCATGCCTAATGCACCTGCCTCCTATTTTCCCTACAACAACCCCATGGGGTGGGGTGGGCTGAGGGAGAGGGACTGGCCCAAGGTCACCCAGCTGGCTTTGTGCGGAATAGGACTAGAACTCACAGCCTCCCGGTTTCTAGGCTGCCCCCTGAACCGCTACACCAAACTGGCTCTCTGTTTGGGGAGCATCTTCAAGAACAGAGGGCCTCTTCGCAATAGTATCTTTTGTGCATGGGGTACACGCATGCCCTGGTTCTTGTTGGCCCAGAATTTAGTGGCCCTCAAAGTGTAATGGCTCAGAGCTTACTGGGAAGCTAAACACACCCATAAGTAATACCTGAAGAATAAGTCTTTGGATGTTGAGCTAGTCCTGCAGGCTAAGCCAAAAGGCACCTTAAGCAGCCTGCTACCCATCACTGTTAGTCATGCCCCCCATGGATAATGGCTCTTCTAGATGAAGAAAGGAAAGCTATCAAATCCCACCATTGGTTGGCTCAGTATAATGTTTATTGATTGATTGATTATGTGTTATCAAGTTGTTTTCGACTCCTAGCGACCACATAGATAGATTTTTTCTATGATGATCTGTCCCTAACCTGGCCTTTCAGGTCTTCTGAAGGTGCCCATCACCACTGTAACCAAGACCATCCACCTTGCTGCTGGTCCTCTTTCCTTCCACCTTTCCCAGCATTAGAGCCTTAGAATGTACCCCAGCCCTTTTCGTAATGAGATGCTCTGCATTTTAGATACAATAATAAGCTGTCCAGAGTGACTTTGGAGTTGGGTAGCTTAGACATTCAATAAATCCTGACCACTATCTATATCACCTGAAGCTGATGGCAGTTTTAGGACACTGGCTGAAGGTTCTCTGTTGGGGAAGAGTGGTCTATGATGGTGATAGCAACTTTCTAAGGTTTGGAGCTAGAACTTTAGAGTTAGGAAGGGCCATCCTCTGCTCTGTCCCAGAATCTAGAGCATCATTGACAAATGGAAACCTAGCCTCTCCCTGAGGGCATTCAGTGAAGGGGGGCTGGCCACCCCTCTGTTAATTCATTCCATTCTCAAGTTGCCAATAATATTTTTTTTTCCCTAGAGGTATACAAAAGGTGGTGTGAAATTTCTCCAAAGCATCTCATCCTTGACTGCAGCACTGCTGTTCCTAGTGCAAAATAGGCCATTTTGAATGTTTGAAATACTACCATAATTCTCAAGAAAGTCCATCTCACACTCAAACCAGTAGACTCAAACTGGGGCATGTTAGGTAATTGTGTACCTGAAAGGCATTGTGCACACTAATTTTAACATTCAGTTGGAACTGCCTTCCTGTAACTTAAATCCATTATTTTGTGTTGTGTATTCTAGAATATGAGAGCAGATGTTGACCCAAGAACCTTTCCTAGACCACTGTAAAAATGCTGGGAGTTTACCACGAACATTGAAGTTGCAATACAATCCATGTGAATCCTCTACTCTTGAGTTAGAGCTTTTTCAAGTCAGAAGAACCTTTTACACGCACTGTGTAGGATTGCTTGTGCGGAGGGGGCAAATCAGTCATGCAGGCCCATGTAGGAATCTGATTGACCAAACTGTTGTATCCAGGTCTTCTGGCAGTATTGGAATGAGATTAGGGTTGTATGGAGATATTGGCCTCTACAGCTCTCCCACCAGAGGTAGTTTTCTATACTTCTACCATGTGCAGTATTGGAATATGAGTAGTTTAACACAATTTCAGGAAAACTGAATTAAAATAGGACATTCTACAGTAATACTGTATATTAACTTCCCTATGGGAGCTATTATACAAAATTATCTGGAAGGCAATGTGGATTTGTTGTTTTTCAGCCTGTAGTCTTCATCTACATTTATACCTTGTATAAATACTAAATCTTTAGTATTTATACAAAGTGGGGGGCAAACTGTTTTAAAGAGTCATTGGTGGCACCAAATAGAAAAGAAGATCCTTCTTTTCTTTTCTTGGAAAGACAATGGAAGGGCTTTAGATCAAGGTCATTCTTTTCATTGTTTCAAGGCTCTGCAGTTTTATCTGAAACTTGGATGGTCCTCTTTAAATATGAATTTGCCAAATAACAAGGAAAGCCAAATGCTAACTTGGGCTTCCTACGGGCAGTTCTTCAGATTGTGGCTACCAGTGTTTTATTTCTCTATATTTAGTATAAATCCGGTTTTGAAAGGGCATCCTGTAGACTCAAGTGAACCTTAGCGTTTAATTGAGGACAGAACAGTGGAGGAAAGAGTGGGGAGGGAGCCACATGGCAGAGCGGTGTGCACGGTCACTGCATAACCATGCTTGGGCTTGCCTTCATGCACGTCATTGGGCATGCACTGTCTCTCTGAACAGAAGTGGCTTATTATAGATAAGCCAGACTCTTTCACGTGTCAGCCAGCCTGCTGCAGAGGTAATTCAGCTAGGGGACATGAAAGAACACACAGAGTGGCCAGATGGGCACTGAACATTGTGCAACATTCATTTGTTGGGCATCAGCAGTCTTTGTGCTTCTAGTTATATCATCAGTCATGTGGCTAATTGCTCGCCGTTATCTCTTGGGCATAATATGGCAAGTCAACACAGAATGAAATGAGGTGGTCACTGAATGTAATAATACTACATATTCCAGGTGATCTAGAAAAGGGGGTACTGATCCATCTGTTATTAAACTAATTGATGGATTGTCAAACATTTCTAAGGTGATGATAAGCTGTGGGTTAAAGCCTATGGCATAAGTGAAATCCATAGTTCTAGGCACATTTACTTGGAAGTATTCCCATTGTATTCCAGAAAGGTTACTTTTGTGTAATAAGATTCCAAAGTGTATATGGTATCCTGTTTATATAGGATAGGTATTCCAGTGTATAAACTAGCCCCCTCCAATGAGGGGCCCTCCATCTAGGTATGTTGAGCTACAATTGCCAGAATTTTCACAGCACACACCATTTTCCCTACTGGCTATAGATTCTGGGAGTTGTACCACAGCACATTTCAAAGGCCCCAGGTTGAAAAAAAAACTGCTTAAACTTTTTTATTATTATTATGTCATGCTTCTGGCTATAATTTTGCTTACCTGTAGCTGTGTTTGAGATGTGGCATCCAAATAGGATGAAAAAATTATTCAGAAAACTACTCTTAATCTAAAGCTGGGCATTTTAAATTTTAATTGTAAGTCAGCAAAATGGCATTTGGATGGGAATCTGATAAAACTCCCTGGAAATAAATAGTGAGATGTATAATAAGAGCTAGTCAGTTTTCTTTATTTTAGCTTTACAGGGCAATTGGGCAGAAAGAGATGGAACCCAGCTACTCCAGGCTTACTCATACAAATTGTACTTGGAAAGCTTGCTAAGTAACCAAGATACATAGATAAAATGATTAAATTATCACGGGATTTATCAAGAAGAAAATAATGCCCAATCAGTTCTTGTTGCATGAAAAAAGCTGGATTTATTTATTAATTGTATTTATAGTCCATGTACTCAGCCAAGTCACGTCAGTTTCATCTACTGTAAAAGGCCATCTGAGTAAGGTTTAGTATGGTTAGAAGCTGTCATTGTTCTCTTCAGGCTATTTGCACATGGCAAGCCTCATATGGTAGTGCCAGTTAAACATCTGGCAAATTTGCCCAAACTCTTACTTCATGAAGGTTCAAACCAGCAAAACCTGTTTAACCACAGTTGATATAGAATTAAAGAAGAAAGAGTAAGTGGCTAACAGCAGTGAAACATCTGCCCTCTAACGTCATCTCTTATAGTTACCTGCAGCCTGAGTTCCATATGCCAAAGTGCCATCTGCTGTGAATCTGTCCTTGCCAGGGCCTTGCTGCAGCTGGGAAAACACTGGCTTAGCTACTGATTTCTTTCTGAAGTCAGGGTGGGGTGGACTAGGTCTTTTGGAGAGACAGTTCCTTATGGGAATATTTTCTGAGTATTTACCTCATGGTCTGAAAGTCTAAATCTCAAAGCCCTCTTCACTCCAGCATCCTCATGGTGAATGAAGAAGCAGGGTTACTACAGTAGAACAACCTTATTTCTTAATTATCTAATCTGGAGGATTTAATGAATGACAGTCACTGTGACTTGTAAATTCTGACTGCCAAAGACCTTTCAGTTTTGAATGCAGCAATAGACTCTTCATAGCTTTGCTACTGCCTTTCCTCTCTATTTTTGTTTACCGGCAGAGATTAGGGATGAAATCCGAAAGTAGTGATGTGAAGAAGCACTGCCTTCTCTTTTTGTGAAATCAAGTCCTTTGATTCTTGGGGGTTATAGTTCACACCCATTATGATTATGTTTTTCTTTTCAACAAGCTTTCTTTCCTCATTGTTGACAAGGAAGCACAGCCAAATTTTGATAGGACCTTCAATTACCATAGTAATAGTCATGGTGACAGACATGTTTATGCAAATAACTAGCATTTTTCACTATCCTTAATTGCAGAAGCTGTTATCAAAAACCTGGATAGTTCTTTGTGTCCAGCAACATTTAGTTATCCGTGGCTTATTCTGTTGGAAGATTAGTTATATTATCTCGTAAGCTTCCCAGGGTTTGACTCTAAAACTCTTTAACTCATATAAGGTAGAATGGCAGTGTGTTTCAGTTTCAGTTACATGAAGGCTTTAAGAAGAAAAAGTAAACTCATTCCTTAACCCAGTGTTGTCCAAACTTGGCCACTTTAAGATGAATGGACTTCAACTCCCAGAATTCCCCAGCCACACTGCCTTAACCGGTATGATGATTTCTCAATGCCAGTAATAGGGATGGTTTCTAAAACCTTACTGTTATTTTGCATACACCCAGCAGCATGATGTGGCTACAAAAAAAGACAAATTAGGTTTTAGGATAGTTTTCGACTTCCAGGAAGTAATTGTTTTGCTTTATTCTGCTTTGGTCAGATGCCACCTTGAATCCCGTATCCAGTTCTGGCCATCACACTTTTAGTTAAGGTTCTATGGTCTTAGTCTTTTGTGCAACAGAACTGCTCAAATGAATTCTTACAAGCCGTTCTAACTGATTCCGAGTCACTCCATTTTGCCTAACGCAGTAACTATTTCTCCTGCTCTTTTCTCCCTCCCCAAGGCGAGAGAATCCTGGGCTATGCCGAAGAGCCTTGTTACCTGTGGTTCGTCATGGAGTACTGTGAAGGGGGAGACCTGAATCAGTACATTCTTTCTCGCAGACCAGATCCCGCCACCAACAAGAGTTTTATGCTCCAGCTGACCAGTGCCATCGCCTTCCTTCACAAGAACCACATTGTGCACAGGGACCTGAAGCCTGACAATATCCTGATCACGGAGCAGTCAGGGGCTCCTGTTCTCAAAGTAGCAGACTTTGGGCTCAGCAAAGTGTGTGCTGGCTTGACCGCTCGAGGCAAGGAGGGGGGGAACGATAACAAAAATGTGAATGTGAACAAGTACTGGTTGTCCTCTGCTTGCGGTTCAGACTTCTACATGGCTCCTGAGGTGTGGGAGGGACACTACACTGCCAAAGCAGACATCTTTGCCCTGGGCATCATTATTTGGGCAATGATTGAAAGGATAACGTTCATCGATGCCGAGACCAAGAAGGAACTCTTGGGGACTTACATCAAGCAGGGGACAGAGATTGTACCTGTCGGGGAAGCTCTGCTAGAAAACCCAAAGATGGAGTTGCACATTCCCCAGAAACGCAGGACTTCCATGTCTGAGGGAATCAAGCAGCTCTTGAAAGACATGTTGGCTGCTAACCCGCAAGACCGACCCGATGCCTTTGAGCTTGAATCCCGGATGGACCAGGTTACTTGTGCTGCTTAAACTCAGGTCAAAGTGTTGGTGGGCTCTGAAAACAGGGTAAGGGTGCTTCCACTTTTGTGCCTTGGTTACACTGCATGTTAAAATGATGTTCCCATTAATTCAAGTGCTTGAGGCTATTTCTGCTCTTGGTGGTAGCAGCAGGCTGAATTGCTGTGAAGTAGATCTTTGTTCTGGGGATACGGTGAACTGTATATAGAGGCAACTAGAGCTATGCCCCAATTTTAATATATTTTAATTGATGACATTGGCAGATAAGGTATGAATGAAGCAAACCATCTGTTTACTGTATATACTTGCGTATAAGCCCATCCACAGATAAGCTGACCCTTGAATTTTTAACCAAAATGCTGTAAAAAAATGCACCACTGGTGGATAAGCCAACCCTCAAAATTTTCATGTCTTAATTTTTACAATTGGCTTATCCATGGAAGGGTAATTTTTCGTGGTATTTTGGTTAAAAATTTGAGGGTCAGCTTATCCATGGATGAGCTTCTACACAAGTATATATAGTACTTACCTGTAGGCAGTTCTTTCTAAGATGTTTTCCAATTGCAATTTTGTAGGAACTGGTAGTAAAAAAAGTTTTCAAAATCACAGTGACTTGGGATATCTTAGTTGATTAAGAAGGTTTTAAATTGTGTGATTAAATTGCCTTTAATACTGTGGCCCTAAAGGAACACATTGCCACAGAAGAGTGACCTACTGTTTAGAAGGCAGATTCGGTCTTTCCTACCACTGCTGTGAATTTAGGGTCTGGGTCTGGCTGAAGAAATTGATGGAACTTTTCTTCTCTTTTTAAGTGAAAGGTGGGCTTGCTCTTAAGCTGTATGCGGAAAAGAGACACACTATATTCTGCAGACCAAGGCTGGCCAGCAGGGGAGTGAGGCTGGCTGTGGTTGACATCGCCCGTTGCTCACAAGTCAAAGAACCTAAGCAGGAGAGGTCTGCTTTTTCTGTTGGCTCCAAGCAAGGCCAGTGAACAACAGGGAGACATGCTGATGCCTGCCTCTAGAGACATTCCAGACATAGCAAAATGCTTTCCAAACATCACTGTGTCAGGAACATTCCCCTGCTTTTGCAGGCTCTGAAGTAGCACAGCAGATACTCCCTCACGCTGCACTCGTCAGCTTGCTGTTGGCATGTTTCTTGGCCTGGCAGCTGTATTTGTGGATCACCGCAGAAGGCAGCGGGGGAGCCTAATGATGGTCTGCAATTTTAAATAATTGCCCGGCTGCGGCCATGCAACCTCTGTGTTCTGCTAACTGGATTGAGCCATGATGGCTAAGGGGAATTCTTCTGTTTGAGGGGCGTGTACTGCTGCAAACTGACTTATGAAACAACAGTTTGAGAAATCTTCCTGTCTTCTGCCTGCTGCTTTCAGTTTTTCCAAAAGCGTCTCATTCATTGTGGAGAAATGGAACATGAAAGCCAACAGGCCATTGAACTAATGCTGTAGGATTCTTAAGGCATTCAGCTCTTCCCAGAAAGGATGATCCTTGTGCTTGCCCCATAAACTGAGTTGCACTGTCCTTGTCTGATTCCAGAGGAGATAGTAATTTCTGAAAGAAATAAAAACCTAGGTGTGTTACACAAAGAGTTACAGTACACATTTTCTTCATTAAGGCAACAGTCCATTAGCAGCACTTGGACTGTTGCACTTGTTTATATATTTATTTATTTATATTTCAAATGTAGACACTGATTGGGCACCTTGAATGCCAAATTGAGGGGTGAGTCTTCCGTTCTCTTGGTGCATCTATTCCCACTCCTCTCTTGGGGCAGCTTACCCATAGTGCAAGCTGTGCAACAGATTGTTGAAGGGGTTTCTTTCTGGGGTATTCCTCACCTGATGTTTCTTCACTGTAACTTGGCTTCCTAAGTGGTTGGTCCTCAGTATAGTTGGTCTTGTTTGTTTCCCATTCCCATGGCTAAAGAGGTCCCGTTCTACACTCTCTCTCCTTTCCTCCCATGTCTGCCTACAGTGGCCATCTGTGCCTCTCTGCACTACCTTGGCAAGGAGGGAGAATCCTCCAAGACCGAAGGGGTTAATTTGATAGAAACTTTGTCCCTGTGACAGATCATCATGGCTTAGTGAGGAAGCTGGCTTCTCTAAATCTGAATTAGACTCGTTTCCATTCCAGGCACTGCGTGCTGATCATGGGAGGACACTTAAATGGTTGCCAACTTTATGTAGAGCCAAAAAACTCAGCCTGGGTTATTGGAAAAAGTTATTTTTAACAAGATGTTTCCAAATGCTGCTTCAGTGTGTGAAAGCTATGGCAAGGAAAATGCTAATTCTTGTGTAATCAGGACTTTGGTTCTTTGTTCTGCTGGAATAGAAGCGAGCCACTTTTCAACCTTGGGGGTGGGAGGCATGTGAGGACCACATGGGATATAGTCAATGGTATTGTAAATGTCTTTGGATTAGGGAGGGCTGAAATTTTCAGAACAACCCTTTGTTGGGGAGATTAACAGACAGCTGAATTTGTCTCAATTTTGAGGGAACGGTTGGGTGCCTTTAAAAAGTGCCTTGCAGTTTTTGCCCCCAAATGTGAAGAAAAGAGTATGAAAGTGGCTGTCTTTCTACAGAGCGGTCTGGAGGATTTTATTCACTCAAGGAGGGGGGGTGTCACCCCTAGGCAATCCACCCCTGTGCCGGGATGAAGTGGCAGAATCCAGAAAGCAAGTCAGTTTGATTCTTAGCAGGAATGTGATAGCTGATGCTATGTAATGCGAATGTGGGCATTTTTAAGATGAAGAAGGCTAGGAAGAGATGCCCACTGAGAGGAAACCTTCATAACTTCCTTGAACTGAAAGCACAGTGGGGCGTCTGCCACAGGCTCAGTAGAGCACTTCCATTGCCTGACTGGAACCTGGCCAACGCACAAGGTTCCTGGGCAGCATTTGTGCTGGTGGGTCACATGTTGCATGACCCGTCCCACTCGGTGGCAGAAGGAAAGCCCCATCCAGTCCTCCCTAGAAAGACTGCGTGAAAAAGATCCTCCCTGTCTTGCCTCCCAGCTCCTGCTGTTGCGACCACTTTGCCCTCAAGCATGCGTTCCAGAAAGCATGTTAAAAAGGGATGCATTGGTCGTACATCAGTTGAGAATGCAATTTGGATTAAAACCTGAGCATCTGAAGCCCTTTACTGAATAGCTGTTCTGAAATGAAGCTTGGATGTGGTATTTTGCAGGAATTGATTTTTGTTGTTTTTAGTTGTTTATAATTTAACATGGATACCCACTGCTATTTCAATCTATGGGCACGGTATTGTTTAAAATAATAAATAAGGATAATATTGACCAAGCTCGGTATCAAAATAGCGAGTATCCAAGGAGTGCTACTTTTTGTCAGCTGAACTGTCTCATTTAGACCTTCAACTTTTGCAGGGAGCAGAGGGGGAACCTTTAAACCTGTTTGCCATTCTTTGGCCCTGCTGCAATCCAAATGCAACTAGTGTTTCCATTCTCATTCCGTATCTCTTCTAGAAATGCCACATGCTTTGAGACTAATACCAGTAAAAAGAGTGAAGTTTTCATCCCCAGGACGTGGCTATACCTTTTAAGAGTATCTATCCTGGCCCAAAGCTTTTCTTCCTTTTTGCACCTGTCTGCTTCTCCGCTGAGGAACACAGATGATTCTCTGGATTACGTAATGATTGCTGTATCTCCAGACTGTTTATTAGAACATCAAAGTCACGAAGGAATGCTTTTCTTCCTCTTGGGCACTTTAGGAGCGATGATGTTGCCTTCAGTATCTCTGTTTCCTTTTCCCTATTTGGCTGGTCCACCAGCCCCCTTTTTGAATAGTCTGCATATGCCATTTGTGATCATTCATGTGCCAATAACATCATGATGCAGGGTTGCATAACCAGGCTGTACCCTCAGGGGAAATCCTTCCTGTATTTCTCTTCAGAATGGGAAATGTAAGTCCAATAAACACAAAAAGGGACAGATCTGCCCCTTGGCTGTTTGTTCAGAGGCCTTGCTGTCTGGTCTAGCCTCCTTGCCGTGAGCTGAGCCAGGAATGAGTCTTCGCTGAAGCACAACCGCAGTGAAAGAGAGCTGCCCCTTACATAACAGAAAAGGAGGAGACACCCTGGCTGACCCTTTGCGTGCTTCCAAGTGAAAGGACTGCCTTGTGTACACAGACTTGGTTGCTGTTCTGTCAGATGGAGCAGTCTGTCTTTTGGTCTCCTGGGAAGGTGATTTCTTACCATGACAGAATCCCTTTAAGCAGGGTTCCTCAACTCTGGCAATTTTAAGACGGGTGGACTTCAACTTCCAGAATTCCTTGCTGGCTGGGGAATTCTGGGAGTTGAAGTCCACCTGTCTTAAAGTTGCCAGGGTTGAGGAACCCTGCCTTTAAGGACTGTCTTGCAGCCAGACTTGTGTGAGCGGTCACGTTTGCACTCTGGTTCAGTTATTTATTACAGCTGGCTTGTAAGTCTAAATTTTGTTATATTGAGCCACATTACTAAGGCTTGAACCCACTACAAAGCCTTGCAAGGCTCGGGTGACCGTCCTCATTACCTTCTACTTGCTGAGTGTCTTTCAATTCCTCATGCCAGGTCTTGGAGCTGTGGGCTCCACAAGATTTGTCTGCATTCAGGAGTTGATGTGAGCTGAAAGTTGTCTCAGCACACTTGAGGATTCTTGGCTTGGCATAGACCTCTTCTAGGATAAGCAATCATGTAAACAACTACATGGGTGTTTGGCTCCCTAGAGATCCACAATGAACTGTGGACGACCTTAGGTAGGAGAAGGGGAAAAGGAGAGACGTGCTCTATGTTTCTTGTTAACCTAGTAGATCAAAAAAAAAAAAAGAACAGGAAAATAAGTTGCTGAAATAAGCTCCATTTTTCACACATCACTAGACATAACTTTGGAACTCAAGACAAGAAAAAGACTGAATAAGTATTCTATCCCCTTGTTGCTGGCAGGAGGAAGCTGGGTTCAGAGATGTCTGTGCCAGTCCTTGCAAAAGGAATTCTCTTCCCTGGCTCAGGGCTACTCTGGCCCCTTCTCCTTTGATGGATGTTTCAGTTGAACCCAGCAGGGTTGACTGCCTACTCTGACAAGTCTGTGCATGCAGTCTGTTGCTCTGCACCCGAGATTCAGGAGCACGTGTTTCCTACTCTTAGCCTGGTCAGTTAATTCTGATGTACCAGCCTTTTGTTTTACCTGGCAGGGCTGGGAATAAATCTTTGCTTCCATTGGCACAACCAGCATCCTTAACTCTTGCAAAAGCTGGTGTAATATGTATTGCCGTGACAGAACTGGGTACCCACACACTCTTCCTCAGTTAATTACTTGAAACTCACATTGACTGGTCTTTGTGATCTTGACCAAGTATGGTTATATAGAGTTGCCTCTCAATAAAGAACCCGGTTCTCCCAACTTAGTATAATAGGTAATCAATTTTGCATAAATCTTATTTCGGTTTTGGGAGTTTTGCAAGGTTTTAGAATATCTGGACAAGAGCTGTCATGACAGAAGATAGGAACATTGTTGAGAAAACCTGAATGCTGCCTCGCATCTATAAGCCTTTAAATATTTGACTTGATTGGTAAAAATTGGAGTTATCTTGTATTTATGGTCCTGCGCATTGGAAGGATTTTGCCAAATCAGACCTTCCAGAACTGTCCAGCAGCACATTCTTTGCCTTCCAGCATTTTTATCAGAAGTTTATCTGCTTTTCTGCTTTAGCTGATCCTGTAAAATAGCTGGTCCTGCTTTGCTTGATGTTATGCTAATTACAGCAGCCTCAGCTGAATTCTCCTCTCCTAAGGGACCAATTTTGACACTCTGGCTCCAGTTTCAGAAACACTCTTGCCAAATCCAGCAAGAAAATTAAAGCATGAGAAAACCCATTTCTAATTATTGCATACTTTTAACCATTGTTTTCTTCATAAGACTTCCTGCGACTAATTGGGCTTTCCACTGGGGGTGGTGGGGGAGGATTGTCCCAAGAAACTTGGCTACTGAGTTTGGATGCAGAAGCAAGTGCCAGTCCAACCTTGGTTTCCCTCGTGACTCAAGTGACTTGGGAGGCAAAATGTGTGACTTACCAATTATGCAATTGGCTTGGATGCCTGTTTATGTTCCTGGCCTGGCTATCAAGGTAGTGAGATGTCAGCAGTCCTGGTGCAGCTGGTTTTATTTTGTCAGTTTAGTAAAGAGCTTTTTGCATGTATTAACTTGGAAGCATTGTACATTTCTAAAGCTATTAAAAGTGCAATGGAAACTTAATGCTGCTATTCTTCACATATTTAACACCACCCATTTAGTACTGAATTTGTCATACGGTTTTCCTGATTTTAAACTTTGTGCTTTGTTGATTTTAGACACCTGAGACACCTCCCTGTACTCCTCGCTTCATTTGCACCACCTTCTTTTCATTCATTTATTCCCAATGACTGTACAAAAATAAATTACAATCCTCCCAAATGATGTTATATCTTTAAAAAGGAAACAAAAAATAAATAAAATTCATAGGAAAGAAAAGATCAAAGCCCAGCAAGAATGGAAGGTTCTTGAACCGATGAAGCACAGACAGAAGCGTGCTATGGGTTGAAAGAGATCCAGATTAACAGCTGGGTGGATCTTCTTTTTTACTTGTATGTGTAAGGTGCTTTACAGTAGTTGGGTGACTTTGTTGTCAGTAACAATGCTGGGTTGGGAAATTTAAAAATGAGGATGCCAGCCTCATGTGAGAGACCTGTGTGGACTCCTGTGCAACTTGTTCTGCATTCAATAAACAGTTTTGCTCCTGCAGACTATCCTTTGGACCAAGCTGAATATGCTGCATCATTTAGTCATTTTTCCCCCCTGTTGGCTTCTTGGTTCTCTCTGAGCTTGGTTGTTTTCCTGAAGACATTTCATGACCAGGCTAGGTAACAACATTAGTGCAGCACAGGGTGGAATTTGCTGGTGGTTTATATAGAGTAGTTTGCCCTGCCAGTCTTGGTTGGGGTGCGGTTACAATCTTTCTTGATATTCCTTGATTATGTGCCATCAAGTCAGTGTCAACTCTTAATGACCACACGGAAAGAGTTTCTCCATGATGATCTGTCCCTTACTTGGTCCTTCAGCTCTTCCAGGGGTGCCTGCATTGCCACTGTAACTGAGTCCATCCACCTCGCTGCTGGTCGTCCTCCTCTTCTCTTTCCTTCCACCTTCCCCAGCATTAGAGCTTCTCCAGAGAGCTGGGTCTTTGCACAATGTGCCCAAAGTAAGATAACTTGGGCCTGGTCATTTGTACCTTGAGTGAGAACGCTGGGTTGGATTTGTTCAGTGACCCATTTGTTTGTTTTCTTAGCTATCCACGGTATTTTCAGGAGTCTTCTCCAGCACCAAAGTTCAAAAGTGTCAATGCTGTTCCTATCCTGCTTCTTCAAAGTCCTTGATTAGGGTATGGTTTCTTCCCTGATTGTTTATCTGATGCTGTTTTCTGTTTATCTGGGTGTTGGCTGCTTTTTCCCCATGAACAACATCTGCAGTATTGAAAAGTGAGTGTTTGGCTGCAAGATGATTAAATAATTGCTTTGGCCCTTGTCAGCGAAGTGAGCCTCTCGAGAGATGGTGGCTGCTTTCTCTGCGATGCGACAGTGCTGAAACAATATAATTAGAAGATACAAACTGGTGCTACAGTGATCGTGTTCCAACGTAATCTGCAAAGCAAGACACACCAAACTGAACACATCTTGTGAATAAAGCTGGAGTCATTTCCCATTTGTTCTTTTTTCTCATATATTAATATACTTTTTAATGAAGTGGTCTCAAACCATTAGGTGACAAATTTATATTGAAGGAACATGTACCAAGAACGCAAATTATGTTACATGTTCACAGTGTGATATGAAATCTTGGTACATCTCTTACGAACTCTGCAAGAGGTTCCTTATGACACATTGCTAAGCAATGCAAAAGGCAGTTTTTGAAAAAGATTGTTTGTTGTTCATTGCCCTTGCTCTTTCAGGAAAAGGAGAAATTCAAGAATTTAATTCAAATTAAATTCTTCCTGAGAAGATTCCCTCACGTTGTCAAAGCCATGAAATTAAAACTGAAATGATAGCACTTGCATACATTTAAAGTCTATCTGTTCATAGAGCTTTTCTTCAGCTTGGCTTGGCACTGAATTTGGCCTTTTTTGTCCTAAGCCCAATTTAACACGATCTGCACGGGGGTCTCTGCTGTTGTCATAAATATGCTGTCAGTTCTAGAGATTTCAAGCTGACAATTGTGCCTCTTCCAGCAATAAATGTCACATTCAGTGGGTCTGAACCCTTATATATGATGTTGTCCTGTGGCCAAACAAAGAGCTGGGCCAGACATATTGGTCTAGCACTCAGAGAAGGCTTGAATGTATATTCTGGGGTGGCCCAAATAATATTGTACAGTGTACACTTCTTTTCTAAGCACATCAGGTTTTCACAGTGAAGATCGATATCTTCCACCTAAACAGAGGATTAGGGCAGCATGTCATGCTTTCATGGGAGGCTTGGGATGACCCCCATGTTTGTGGGTTCGTTGTATAGCCACCCAGAGTCACATATGTGAGATAAATAGTTCAATTTTGGGGGTAAGGATGCTTGACCGGCACCTAGCACGTCTTGGATCTCAACAAGATGTTAGGTGTTGTACAGATGCTGTGTGGACAGCTCTGTGGCCTTGGATTACATGAGGCTAACAGGGGCACCACTTTGATTGAGCACCCCTTCAGCACGAGCTGCATCAGAGTGATTGCTGCAAGGAGTTTTTGGCAGCCTTCCACCCAACTGCAGAAGGCGCTTCCAGCCATGAGGCCGGCTTCAGCGTCTGTGTTTTTTTTCAAGGCAAGGCACCACCTCATGTCCAGTCACTCCTGCCCTAAGACTTGCAGCAGCTCTGCAGCAGCTCTTCACGCGGGGCTAGTATGTGAATTGTGATGGCTGAACGCTTTCTTTAGGACATACGTTCCCACTTATTTTTTCATTTCTCTGAATATTGGCTATAATTTATAGAGTGAGAGTAAGCTTGGCTGGGCCTGGAGTGTACTATGGAGGTTTATAGAGAATGCAGTACTGGATGTGTGGGTGACCACATGTAACTGTCCAGTTGTATCCCACCATTTAGGTGTAAAAGTGTTTTCCCCCCATTCAGCTGGTTCCCTTCTCAAATATCCCTTTCTCTCTGGTATAACAAGTAGGCTTTGCTATGTAGAGAACAGGAAAGGAAGCTTGGCCAAAATCTATAAAGGTAAGTGTTACAGTTGCACAGCAAGTTTCACCTTTTAAAAAGAAGGGTGCTATTTCTGAGTAAAGGTCTGGTAGCAGAAACCAAGGGCCTATTTTCTCATTAGACACGGATGAGTATATCTTTGGCTTGCTTCCAATAACCCACAATTTCTACTGGCAGATAACTGGATGACCTTCCTCCTTTGAGAAGGGTAATGGTCAGAATTGGGTCATACTGAATGTCTCTTCTCTGTCAAGGAAAACATGAAAGGAGAACTCTGATTCCATGAAAGGGGAGGAGGAGTTGTTCTCAGGGAGCCCAAATTTATTAAGGAATTTCAGAAAACTAAGTTTGTTTCTTCGGTGGCATTTAGGAATCAGCAAAGTTTAGACCCTTCGCCATACAGCTTCTCCATAATCGGTTTTTGCTGATCTTTAGCATAATTATTTTAAATTAATAAATATGAGTACAAGGACCCAATAATACATGTTTCGTGAATGCTTTTCTTTTCTTTTCTTACAGGATTTCTTACAGGGACCTACAGTCTCCATGACGTACATGCATAGAGCAAGCTGAGAAGGGTCTGTCCTGGACTCTGGTACCGTGAAGCTTTGAGACTCGTCTTGAAGCCCCATGAGATACAAGGAAGACAGGAGCTACTGTAACCTATTTCATTATGAGACTATTAAAGTTCATCCTTTTTTACATTTCCCCCTTTCTTTCTCTCCTGCCAGTTCAGCTTCGCCTGTTCACTTGATCTGTGCAGTACATTTGGAATTCCTCTTTAACCTAAACAAAATACTGAAGAAGAAAAAAAAATCTGCAAATAATTTTCTGTTGCTGCTACTGCTAAGTACCAGAACTCTGGGCCAAAATGTGTTTTCTCTTCATGTTGTTGAGCAGGGTGATATTGAGTTGAGAGTATTGAGGGCTGTGGCAAAGTACTTTTTTTGTTTTTTTGGTCTCTGGTTGCTGCTGCTTAGCCCTTAAAGCTAGAAACATGACTGAATAAATCTTTCTCCTGCTCCCCTTTTTAAAAATGTCCTGCATCAGGGGACCTAAATGTGTGATATCTGATAGGGACATTAAGGCAGACCCCCCACGTTGAAGGTGGCCCCTGAGTTAGAAACTCAGTTCTGACCATCATAGGACCCTGTGTTTCTGTGTGCCAAATTTCACAGGTCAAGAAAGGGGGTGTGGTGTTTAGAAATGATGGCAGGCGTCCACAGAAATTATCTTTATGTAGAAAATGCTATCAAAAGCCTGTATCTGCTGGGGTTAGTAGCTTGCTTGGTTGGTCTTTGGCTGGCCAAGATTCAGCCAGCCTGAGATCAAGTGGATATCTTAACATCCGGCTCAATCTTTTCCTAGTTTAGATCATTTAAGCATTCAGTCTATTTGAAGGTTCTTCCCTTGCTGTAGAGGCCTACAAAGGCACAGTCCCTTTCTTGCATCTACGGGTTTTTCAGTGTGAGCAGTATCTTTCCCACCACTATAGCCATCACTTGTGTATATTTATGCATACACCAAGATTAGTCCTGATTTGAAACAATGTCCTAAGTAGCTCTCCCCTAAAACACTCCTTATCATTCCATTGTTCTTAAAGATTTAGCTTTATTCAAAGCAGTTATATTCATTCAAAGCTGTTGGCAAGCTTGGTGTCATGTCTCTGAGTGGAAGTCGTGACACTAAGCTTCCCAACAGGGGAATATTCTGAATATTCTGTCCTAGCGCTTCCTTAAATCGGTCTTAGGTTGGTCTTTGCAATTACCACTGTTCGTTCAGCAGCAGTGAAGACACGGTTGGATCAGCGCATTAAAACTGAATCAACGCTTTGTCCTCCTCCCCTGGTAAGATGAACTCTGTAATTTAAATTGCTACAGAGGTTATCCATAAGATTCTGAAGGAGTGCTTTGCTATAGCTATTGGAATGCATTTGCTCCATAAAACATGGGCATTCCTTAGTTATATGCAGCCAGAATTAGACCATGAATATCAGTCTCATGGTGGATGATATGTGAAAAGCTTACAAAGCTTTTCATTTGCAAGTCCTTCCGTAAGCTCTTCTACGCAGCCATATTTATGACTGATGAGAAAGACATTCTTTCAAGAAGCTCAGAAGAGTCCCTTTTGAGTTTGGAATCCAAGATAAGCTAGAACTATTTTCCCAGAGAAGTTTCATCCTAAACTTGACTTTAGCCATCTGAACTATCCAGTCTGGAGGAAAAGAGTTTGATCCAAATTTGGGTTTTTGAGGCACCAGCCATTTTTTGAACTGTTGCCCTTAAGATTTGGGGACTAAATTCGCATATATAGATTATCCTCAGACCAGTTGGTAAATTCAGCCATGCAGGTCCTAGGGCACAAGCCATGTTATATTACGTGTCAAAGAGTATGAGCATTTGTGTAAAACATTGCTCAAACAAAGGAGCCCTTGCATTTCACTTCTGCACTTTGAGGGATGTTTGTGTGTGTGGAGGAAGCCTCATGAAATGCCAAGGCTTTATCCCTCTGGAAGACTGTTCAAGTAAACAGCCCTTTGCAGCTGAACTCATCCCGGTTATTGTGTGATTTCTTTTCCAGTTGTTGGGGCTGAAGTTAATGCTTTTGTGGTGATAGCTTAGACCAGTGTTTCTCAACCTTGGCAACTTTAAGACATATGGACTTCAACTCCCAGAATTCTCCAGCCCACGGGCTGGCTGGGGATTTCTGGGGGGTTGAGTGCACATTTCTTAAAATTTGCCAGGCTGGGGAACACCG